AGCCCCTGAGCGGCAGCCGCTGGCCCCGCCCCGGCCCCGCCCAGCCCTTGAGCGGCAGCCGCTGGCCCCGCCCGGCACCTGCAGCCGCAGCGGCACGCGCCGGAAGCCGGGCTGGAGCAGCAGCGCCCACACCGCGTAGGCCGCCAAGCCGGAGCCGGCCGCCGCCTGCAGCAGCTCCAGCGCGCCCAGCCGCCGCTCGCGCAGCTCCGTCAGCGCCTCAGCCGGGTCGTCCTGCTCCATGGCTGCGGAACGCGCGGCTCAGGGTCGCCCGCCCAGCGTCCTTCCCGGCTCGGGACCGCGGCCTCGCAGCCGAGCCCGGAGCTGACGCTGCGCCCTCCCGCTCCCGCTGGGCGCCGCTGCCAGACGCCGGAAGTGGCCGGCAGAGCGCGCGCGGTCGGTCCGTTGCGCTGTGCGCTCCGCCCGGCCCGGCTGCCCTCCCGCGGGTTCCGGCGAACGGCAGCCTCGCGGGCGCCGCCCCGCCGTGTCCCGCCCCAGCCTGCGAGGGTCGGCCCGGTGGGTCCGCTCCGGAGCGCGTTGGCGTCCTGTGCTGGGTGCTGGCGACCCGCGGAAGGGGCCAGGCAGGCCCCGCCCGGGGGAGCGCACGTCCCGCTGGTCTCTCGGGCTAGAGCCCCAGGAACACGGGGCTGCGCGTCTGCGGCGTGGAAGGAGGAGACTGCCCTGGAGCGGGGCGGTCCCGGCCCCAGAGCCGGCCGGGGGTCTGCGCGGGGCGGCCGGAGCCCAGGGAGCCCGTGGGAAAGCGGCTCCCCGGGGTGACAGCGTCCAGGCGCCCCTGACTCGGGGAGGCTGGTGGGGGGCGCTCCGCTGACCCAGGACACCCGGTGCCCTCCTGCGGCTTGAGTGCGGAGCCCCAGTGGGCGCGAGAGGGGTGGGGGCTGGGGCCGAGGGAGAGGGCTGACGCGGAGAGCCTGAGCAGGCCTAGGAAGACGGCGGCTGGCCTTCCAGTGGGCCCGGCGGGAGGATGTCACAGGCCGGGCTCTGGCGCCTGCCCAGCCGCCGCGGAGGCAGACAGCCCCGGCTGCGAGATCACCTTCCTTCTCCAGAACGCAGAACAAAGATTGAGCTCCTGGCCGGGCGCGGTGGCTCACGCCTGTAATACCAGCACTTTGGGAGGCCGAGGTGGGGCAGATCACAAGGTCAGGAGTTCGAGACCAGCCTGCCCAACATGGTGAAATCCTGTCTCTACTAGAAATACAAAAATCAGCCAGGCGTGGTGGTGGGCACCTATAATCCCAGTTACTTGAGAGACTGAGGCAGGAGAATCGCTTGAAACTGGAAGGCAGAGGTTGCAGTGAGCTGAGATGGTGCCACTGCACTCCTGCCTGGGTGAAAGAGTGAAACTAATCTCAAAAAAAAAAAAAAAAAGATTGAGTTCCGGAGGTGACCTTGTGAGGCCGGGGTGGAGGTGCATGTGGAAGAGCTGAGCTCTGGGTCAGGCAGCAGGGCTGCGACCTCCACACCCAGGGTAGGGCTGGACGCCCATGAATGTACGGGGTTGCCTGTGCCTGCCCTGGTCTGGCTCCTTAGCCATCCATGGCTGGGGTCAGGAGCCCCTGTAGGGACAGAGGCTGCTTCCAGACAACATGGGTATGCCCCAGACCACTGCCCCCAACCTCCAAGTGCAGTGTTTCTCAGGCTGGTCACATGCTGGCCCCAGCCCCACCCAGTGCAGTGTGTCCTGTCTCCTGGGGGCCTGGAACGGCCCTCCCAAGAAAGGAAGTGTGTGCCCTGATCTCTGGGGGAAAGCTGACAGCATCCATTCCTGTCCTGCTCCCTGCATTCTTACCCGCACCTGGAGCAGTTACCCAGAAGGCTCTCGGGAAAAGCCTGTTGGATGAATGCACCTAACTGGACTCTGGCGTGCACTCACCACTCACGTCTACACTGGGCATGCTGCTCCTTGGCCTTTGGGCACTCTGCAGCCACCTGTGCCCATGCAAGTTAGCACTTGCCTGGAAGTGTGTGATCCACGAGGCCCCAGGCTCCTGTAGCTCCGCCCACATGCTCACCCACACCGTCTCCCTGACTCCCATGCCACTTTGGCTGGTCATCCCCAGGGCAGGCATGAAGCCTCTGGTCCAGTGCTCCAAGACCTGTGGTGCTCCTGTGGGCCCGTGTCTCACGAAAAGACAGCTGGTTGCAAAGCCAGTGCTTTCTCTGGGAGGGTCTGTAGGTGCAAGGCTTAGGGACTTCCTGGGACTGGTGGGCAGAGGGCAGGGTGCAGCCAGGGCCCAGCCCAGGCTGTCTGTGAACAGGTGGGCTTGGGTGTGGCCAACAGAAGAGGCTGTAGGAAGCTGGCCAGAGAATCAAGGCAGGTGCCAAAGGTGAGGGGCTTGCTCAGCCCTTGGGAAAGCCTCCCGAGACAGGAGTGGAGGCTTCAAGGGAGGGCACACCGGCTTCTTCCTCTAGTTTTTGCGGAAGTGTCTGGGCTGGGGGCAGATGGATGTAAGGCCATGGGGCCCAAGGAGTGGTCAGAGCTGGATGAAAAGGTGGAGGTTGTCCAAGTATTACTGGAGGCTTGCCCAGAGGAGTGGTCCTGTCCCTGAGCCTGCAGCACGCCCCAGTTGGGAGTCTGGAGAGAGGAGAGAAGCAAGGAGCCTGAGGAGGAGCGGAAGGTGGGAGGACCCCCGCCCCAGTGACTGATACCCAGGCAGCTGTGCTCCTCACCCATCCTTCTCATCAGCCCCACGGCAGGCAGGCGATCTGTGAAACCATAACCCCCATGCATGTGCAGCTTTCAGACAACCTGCCCCGTGAAAGTCCCAGGGTGGTGATGGACGTGATCCCCCCCAGGTGTCCACAGAGGGCATGCACCCACCAGGCACCTACATCCACAGATCTGGAGGAAGGGCCTTGTTTGTGGGCCCTGCACAGCTGTGTCCCTCACCCAGCCTCACTTTGCTCCCTGAAAGTTGGGGACTTCATCTGCCTGGGCAGTGCCTCTGGCCTCTACCCCACCCCTGGCCCAGGTGAGAATGGAAAGCCAACAGTTTCTGGGGCCCAGCCCAGGGGTCCCCTGGCCCTTGAGCCGTGGCTGTCTCTTTCCCAGGATCCAAGGGGTTGGGGTGAGAGGACGCAGCTTGAACAGGGCCAGGGGGCCTGGAACACCCCCACCCAGGGGCATGGCCTTCAGGCCTGGAGCTGTGGCTGTCCCAAACCTCACTGGCCCTTTATGTGGCTGAAAGGCCGATGAGGAAGGCGGAGACAGTGACAATGGGGCCAGCGGCGGGAAACAGTCCCTACAGACCCCATTGTGCACCCTGCCCGCCGGAAATGGGCAACAAGCAGAACCCTGCAGAGGGGACCCTACACCCTTCGGGCTCCTCGCCACGTCTGGATGCTTGGCACGTTGGAGGGGCCTGTGGACAGAGGGGCCCATTCTTCCCCAAGGGCGGGACAGGGCCAAGGATGACTGCGGGCTCACAGCAGCCACGGAGGGACGTGGGCACCCTGCCAGACTGCCTGGCTCAGAGCCAGAGCGCCATGCGCCTGCCTGCCCCCACCACACCTGAGGGACCCTTGGCCCCTCCGCCCCTTCCCTCTCCTGCTGAGCCCTGGAAGCACCTGGCCCAGGAGGCAAGTGGAAGCCTGCCAGGGTAGCAGCTGAGGGCTGGGCTAGGACGCGGCAGGTGGGTGCAGCAGAGCAGAAGCTTGCGTGAGTGGAGGTCCCTGTGGCCCCCAACCAGCAACAGCCCCTCCCTAGGATGTGCCTGTAGCTCCTCCTCACATCTGCTATCCCTCTCAGTTGCCAAATGGTCTTGAACAAGGTACCATCCCCCCAGTATCCCACCAGGAGGCAGGAACTGGAGCCGCCCTCACAGCTGCAAGGCAGGCCCAGGCCTGGGCTGGACACAGAAGACCAGATCCACAGCAGCTCATGTCACCAGAGTTCTTATTGATTGTCCCCATCACCTCCAAAGCAGTGGGCCCCCCACCCTCCCTCCTACCAGCCCCTCCCCAGCACTCTGCCCCAGAGGAGGTCTAGCTGGCACTGCGCCTGTTCCCTCAGCGAAGCACCACCTCGCAGGGGTGGCGGTGGGCAGTTTGGGCAGCCTCGTAGGCACGGCGGAACTCCTGGAATCGTGGGGCACAGCCCAGCCAGGCCTCCCCAAAGCGGCTCCAGCCCATGAAGAGGAAGGTGCCTGGGCCAGGGTGGACGCCGCAGTGCAGTGGGGTACGAATGGAGGTCAGCCTCTGGTCCCCGGAGCCCCCCACCCGGAACAGCGGCAGTGTCTGGCGGAGGACACGGGCGGCCACCACGGTGATGATGGACTCCTGCAGCTCTGCATCGTGGGTGACCCCGTGGATGGTCCCATGAATTACTGCGGGGGGCATGTTGGCTGGGGTGGGCATTCAGGGGAAGGCCGGCTCCAGGCTCCCCCCATGGCAGGACACTCACCGAAGTCACTGGTGCACGCTACCAGGAGCAGCTCAGCATTGCTGCAGGGCCTGCAGGCACCTGGCATGCAGACAGGGTGGTGAGGACAGGCCCTGCCCTCTCCTGGCAGCACCCCAGGCCCCATCCCTCCACAGGGGCAGGAGGCAGCAGGCAAGTCAGCAGAGCCCGGGCTCAGAGCCTGGGGGCACCTGGGGATCCCAGGGAGCCACATGGCAGGTGCACACACCCTCGGCACCAGTACTCGGGAAACACACTTGCAGGCACACACCTCGGCGGCAGGAACGCACACGGACATGGGCCTGGAGGAGGTGCCAGGCGATCAGCTGTCCCGGGCAGCCCTCCTAACCCCCATCTGACACGTGTACCCCAGCATCTGGGACCCATCTAGTTTCCCGGATCTGGGACCCGAAGAGCAGCAGCCCAGTTAGGGTGATAGGAGGTGGGGGCAGAGGAGGGGAGGTTCTGGGGTCCCTGGCTTAGGGCCAGGGGCAGAATCATGAGAGTCTATCTCTTGCAGGGTCAGGCGCCAAGCTCCAGGAGAGCCAAGAGCTGGGCCTGGCGCACTGCAGAGAGGCGGGCAGCGTCTCCATGGTGACCGGGCTGCACACAGGACTTCTGTGGGTTGGGCTGGGGGAGGGGAGAGAGGTCCCCGCTGGGCCAGGGAGCCTGGACAGCTTTGGCCCAAGGCTTTCATTCTGCCCCTACCATCCCCTCCCGCAACCCTTCAGGGACCAGAGGTCCAAGTCTGCACTGCTTGGCCTCCCTCCTCCACTGTGCACCTGCCAGCTCCTTCCCGAGATGAATCGGAAAGGGAGGGTGGGAAGGCCATCCCACCCTGGTGGTCTCCAGCTGTATGGCCTCTGACAAGCCCATTGAACCCTTGGATCTCACTCTTTCCGTCTGCAGTGGGGCGGACAAGGTACATTCACGCCAACCCTAAGTCCCACCCAGACCACCACTCACCGTCCACGCCGAGACCGTGGGCCTGCGGGGGCAGCTCGGGGCGCCCGTCCTCGCGCAGCTCAAAGCGGAAGGCGGCCACGCGGCGGCTGATGTCCCGGTGCGGCGTGGCCTGCAGGAAGAGGGCCCGGCGCTCGCGGGGACCCCAGCGCACGCAACGGCCCCCTGCCGGCCCCGCGCCCTCGGCCAGCACCAGCTCCAGGGCGCCGCCCGCGCGCTCCGCGAAGACCTGGGCGCCCGCGAAGGGCCGCGCCGGCCGCAGACAGGCGATGCCGGGCCGCGCGCCGGGGTCGGAGCCGCCCAGGGTCAGGTGCAGCGCCCCAGCCGGGTAGAGCCACTGGACCGCGCCCTCCGCACAGGCCAGGGACAGCTGCCCCACGCTGCCGGGCTCCTGGGTGAGGCCGCTGGGGACGGGACGGGGGCTGAGGCGGGGGCGGGTCCCCACTGGGCGCAGCCCCCGCACCCTCCCGGAGGGGGAAACCCGCCCAGCGCTCTGCGCGCTCCAGGAGGCGCATGGGGGGATCCAGGCCGCAGCGCACCCCGTCCCAAGTTCGGGGACAGCGCCCCGCCCGGGCCGTACCTGCCCCTCCAGCTGCAGCGCTCCTTAGAGTAGCCGGCGCCGGCGGCCGCGGCCAGGAGGCCGCAGCACAGCGCGCAGAGCAGCGCGGGGGCCGGGAACGCCATGGCGTGACGGGCGGCGTCGGGGGCTCGGGGCTCCCACAACCGCTGCTCCGGCGGGGCGTGGGTCCGGGCGGCGGCGGGAGCAGCCCCGGCGGGACGCGGGTCCGGGCGGCGGTGGGAGCAGTCCCGGGCGCCGGCCGCCCGGCCCCGGCGAAGCCCCCACGCCCGCGGCCGCTCCGCCCGCCGCGCGGCTCCGGCGCCAGGGCCGTCTTGGAGCGGGCCGGGAAGGGGCGGGGCCGGTGGCGCCCCGACCAATCGCGGCGCGGCCCGGAACTTTCCACCAATAGCCAGGGCTGAGCGGGGAGGGGGCGGGACGGGGGCGGGGCTGGAGCCCGGGCGCGGCGGGAGGACGATCCCACGACCCCAGCGCTGCCAGGGGCCTCGGCGCGCGAGGGAGGCTCCTTGTCCGCCCCGCGCTGTGCGTCGCCCCCTCCCCGCGCCCTCACTCTGGCCTCGCCCTCCGCGCCGTCCAGATCCGAGCCCTGGAGCCCGTGATGGAGCCGGGGTTTTCATGTCCACCGGAATCTGGGGGTGCCAGGGAAGGTGGCCCACCTGGTGGCTCTCCCACGCCCCCTGATTGGGCGGCAGGGTCTCGTCCTTCCTGACACTGGGACCTGGGCCTGTTGCCCACATCCCTCCCAACCTGCTACGGTCCTGCTGACCGCTCCCCAGTGGCATTTGGTGCCCCTGAGGAGAGAGGTCATGACTCCAGGGGTGGGGATGGCCTGGCCTGGGGACTGCGCCTTGGAGCTGGGCCAGGCCTTGGGTTTTGGTAAGGCCGTCCGCAGGTCGGGGTCTTGCTGTGGAGCGAGCAGCCCGCAGGCTTGGGCCCCTTTCCTCAGACCTAGTGGTACCCCATGGTTGCCGGAGGACTGACACCTGCCCAGACGTGCATGGGGCAGCCACAGGCACCCCTGCAGGCCTGCAGCACGTGGAGACACAGGAGCAGCCCCCACCAAGGCGAAACAAGCAGAAACGGGCGATTCTCACACACACTCTCGCCTCAGGCTGGGGCAGTGAGGGATTCCCAACATCCCAACCCCTGAGTTTGGCCTGATGGGTGGGAGTGGGCAGTGGCTGGCCAGAGAATCGAGGAGAGCAGACAGCCTGGGTCAAGACCCTGGGGAAGGAGCTCTTGGCAGCCTGGTGAAACCCCAGGGCACGGGCGGTGGGCAGGGACAACAGGTCAGATCACAGAAGGCCTAAGGCACAAGCCAAAGGATCTGACTACACACTGAACCCCTTAAAGACAAGAGAAGCTTTCACCGGGGCCTGCAAGCACCAGCAGAGACTAGGCAGCCTGCAGACTGAACGTTCTGTCCCCTGCCCCCAAACTCCAGCCACCCAGTGCTTGAAACTCATGGTGGACACATGAGGCCACATGGCCCAGCGGCAGTGGGAGGCTGGACCCCACTGACCACACCCTCCCTCAACCCCAGGGCCCTCCCAGGCCAAAAAGGAAAAAGGTGCCCACTGGGCTGGTCTGGCCCCTTGCCCTGGGTGGTGTGCAGGTCATATGAAGCCACAAAAAGGGTGGAGCTCTGGTGCCCCTTGCCGCTTCAGCCTTGACGCCTGCTACGGCCTGTGTGAGCCTGTAGGCTGCTGTGCTGAGCAAAATACGGCAGACACACAAGGACAAGAACTGTTGGATTCCACTTCTGTGAGTCACCTTAGATTGGGCAAGGTCAGGAGGACAGAAGGTGGAACTGGGGCTGGGGAGGGGGGTGGGGTTGGGGCCTAACGAGGGCAGAGTTCTGGAGCTTGGTTACACAACAACATAAATATTCTCAACAGTACACTTTAAAATGGGTAAAATGGTAGAGTTTATGATGTATATCTTACAATTAAAAATAAAAATTAAGGCCAAAAATTAAGGTGTGGCAGCTTACACCTGTAATCCCAGCACTTTGGGAGGCTGAAGCAGGAGGATCACTTGAGGTCAGGAGTTCAAGACCAGCCTGGCCAACATGGCGAAACCCCAACTCCACTAAAAATACAAAAATTAGCTGGGTGCAGCAGCTCATGCCTGTAGTCCTAGCCCTTTGGGAGGCCAAGGTGGGAAGAATGCTTGAATCCAGGAGGCTGAGGCTGCAGTGTGCTGTGATTGCACCACTGCACTCCAACCTGGGGGACAGAGTGAGACCCCATCTCAATAAAAATTAAAAATTAAATAGGCCAGGCACAGTGGCTCACGCCTGTAATGTCAGCAGTTTGGGAGGCCAAGGTGGGCGGATCACAAAGTCAGGAGATAGAGACCATCCTGGCCAAGATGGTGAAACGCTGTCTCTACTAAAAATACAAAAATTAGCTGGGTGTGGTGGCAGGCACCTGTACTCCCAGCTACTCGGGAGGCTGAGGCAGGAAAATCTCTCGAACCAGAGAAATGGAGGTTGCAGTGAGCCAAGATCACACCACTGCACTCCAGCCTGGTGACAGAGCAAGGCTCCATCTTAAAATAAATGAATGAATAAATAAATAAATAAAGTCTGCTGGGTGGCTCACACCTGTAATCCCAGCACTTTGGGAAGCTGAGATCAGGAGATGGAGACCATCCTGGCCAAGATGGTGAGACCCCCATCGCTACTAAAATACAAAAAATTAGTTGGGCGTGGTGGTGGGCGCCTGTAGTCCCACCTACTCGGGAGGCTGAGGCAGGGGAATCGCTTGAACTGGGAGGCGGAGGTTGTAGTGAGCCGAGATCGCACCACTGTACTCTGCCTGGCGACACAGCAAGACTCCGTCTCAAAAATACACTAAATAAATAAAGAATCAAAAATGAAAAGGGTAGGCTGGGCCTGGGGCTGGGCACATGAGGTGTTCCCAGTGGTAGGGAGAGGCTGGCAGGTCCGCTGCTGCAGCTGCAGGGGTTGGGAGAGGCACTTGGGTCCCCGGGGGCTGCAGCCGCGCAGTGGTCCCTGGGTCAGCACCGCCCAGCGCAGGCTTCCGAGGCCCACGGCGGGCTCCAAGCACCCTCTGGTGGCGGCATGAGGATCAGCCCCAGACACCCTCCTGACAGCCTGTGCCCCGACTTCCTCCCAGGCCTCCCCAGAGAGGGGCCAGTGTCTGTGGTTGGAGGGAGGGGTTGCTGGGATGACCTGGTCTGGAAGGGCACATGCCTGGCCCCAAGTTGATGCCTCAACCCCGGACCTCCCTACCTCCTCTCCAGCCTCATCTCCCGGGGGCCTGGTGCCACCCATGGGAGCAGCCCTGGACACACACCGATTCTCCTCACAGCCCCTGGCCCCACCCAGGAAAGCACCTTGGGTCAGTGGGTGCTCCGCTGCCTATGGGAGGGGCCTGGATGGCGGAGTCCGACCTCAGTTGCTATGGGAACAGAACCCAACGTGCCAGGGTGCATGCGCAGTAAATACCCAGAGATGGGCAGGGCATGGCGGCCCATGCCTGTCATCCCAGCACTTTGGGAGGCCAAGGCAGGTGGATCACGAGGTCAGGAGTTCGAGACCAGCCTGGCCAAGATGGTGAAACCTTGTCCGTACTAAAAATACAAAAATTAGCCAGGCATGGTGGCATGCACCTGTAATCCCAGCTACTCAAGAGGCTGAGGCAGGAGAATCGCTTG